TCAAGGTAACAAGAACCTACTCTAGAAGATCTCGTTTGGTTGCTAGAAATCAGGATTAATTATAGGCAATAAAAAATAAACGACCTACATATTCAGGAAGGTATTGCATTTCTGATGGTAAAGTAAGATCGGTATTTTTCCTGCAGCTAATGATTTCAAGCACCAGAACTCCGAAACTGTAAATGTCGGCCTTTTCGGATAGTTCTCCTTTAATGGCATATTCAGGGGCAGTATATCCTCTACAAATGACAGATAGACATAACAACACATTATCCTCTGTGTATGGAACTAAAAGAAATTTCATGGGAAGAGGATGGGAGTCTAAAAAGGGCCATTTCCATGAAGGGTAATTTGGAAAAAGAAATTTGGTGAAGAAAATTTATTCATGAACCCTTTTGGTATAAGTTAACTAAGGCATCACTTATACTATAATTAGAGCTCGAAATCTAGTACAGGAAGTAACTTACAATGTTCCAGCAAATGCAGTGCTGAGATAAGCTTCATCCTCAGGGAAGAACCTCGCCAAGCCAAAGTCTCCAATTCGTGGTTGAAAGTTGCCAGTTAGAAGAATGTTGCTGGCTTTGATATCACTGTGCACAATCCTGGTGTGTGAGTCTTCGTGTAGGTACTGCAATCCCCGAGCAATACCCAAAATTATTTGGAACCGAGTGCTCCAGTTCAGGTACTGATCATTTTTGCCTATTCATAAATTCAATGAAATTGGAAAGAAAGACAAAGAAACAAATAGTGAGGGAGAAAAAGAGTAAATTATTAAGGCAGTGCCTAAAACCTTATAGTTGATACTCCTTCCATCCCATAAAACTTGCAACATTTCTTGTTGCAGAAAATAGCAAGTTAAAGTTACCTAATCGTTCATGGTCATCATTACAAAGAATTAGTCACATTGATTTTAGGTCTTCAAAACTACCCTCTTTGTCAATGATATTTAAGATATTTTGATTGATAGTCAGGAAACAGCAGCTCAGTATTATGGGTAGTCAGCATACATCTTACCCCCACACTCCCACCTCTGAGTGGCAGCATATACTGGGCTCGTTTGGTTGGTTAGGTTTGATTGATAGATAAGAACATCATTTAAACTGTGTGCTTGATTGTACGCTGCAACTATCATGAAATAGAGGTTGCACTGCATTTATTATGATGATAAATTTCCCATATTTGAGTGCATTGGACATAGAGATGTGACCATATCAAACATGGTAATGTTTTTAAAGTAAGTGGCTGGAAATAGGTTCTTTTTTTGGTAACTATGGGTGTCTGGGTCAGCTTGCGCACACCTGAACTAACCCCATCGGCACTGAAGATAACAGTCTGGAAAATCCCAATGGGCAGTGGCCCTGAAGAGACCGGAACTGGGCTAGAAAAAAGTTAATGTGTACTAGAAAGGTCTTTAGGTCATGTACCATATATAATGAGATCCAGACTCCTGTTCTTCATGTATTCATACACAAGTAGCCTCTGAGGTCCCTCGGAACAGCAACCAAGAAGGCGGACAAGGTTCTTGTGTTGTATGCTAGTGATTATCCTCACCTCTGCAAGGAACTCTGCCTCTCCTTGTGATTTATCTAGAGACAATTTCTTCACAGCAACTCGTCTCCCGTCTTGTAATTTACCCTAAAAAAGCATGTCCATATATGTGAATAGAGCTAAATTTGTAAGAAGTAAACAACATAATAAATCCAATGAATCATAGAACAAATCACCAAATCACTTTCCAAGAGTCTGACACGTGATTTCCAAGATCCGTCGGTTACTTCCTGTTGGAGGAACTACTGATGTTACCCTTTTGCAACCTTGAGGGCCAGCTCAACTGGCAAACAAAGGCTAGGCCTAGGCACTCTTCATAGGTGGCCAATTCGAGTCTCCTCAGAGTCACTAGGATCTTCCAGACTGTCCTTCAGGGCCCATGGGATTAGTCGAGGTGCACACAAGCTAGCCCGGATGCCCATAGTTACCAAAGAAAAAAAAAACAAAAAGCTCACATGTAGTATCAGGTAAACAACCTCTTGGCAGTTGCAAGGGAAATGATGTGTACAAAGACTTCTCTACCCAACCCTTGCAAGGCCGAAGAGCTTGTATTTGTTGTTCTTCTTTGTTTTTGGCATTTTATATTTTTTATTGGGTTCTCAAGTACAAGACGGAACATCATTCAACAGTCACTATCATTGAGTTTTAGAAAGAAGGTTAAAGGAAATATACCAGATAGACTGGCCCAAATCCACCTTTTCCAAGAAGATTACATTCATGGAAGTTCTTAGTCGCCTTCTTCAATGCTTTGAATCTAAAATAGCTTATTGTCCAAAGATTCCCACCGAAATGAACTTTTAAAACCACAAGACAAAAGCTAGCTTTGATCAGCAGACATATACAAAGAACATAATATATCTGTGGAAAGAAATGCATTTGTGGAATCCTACACAATGAATTGTTAGAACAGAAGTATAGGGACAAGATGAATTTGATCTAAGCAGAAAAACAAGGACGTGATTATATCCCTATCCTTAACCAATATTAGCCCCCACTAGGTCGTTGATGGAACTAGGCTAATTTCCTCCCCGGACCTCCTCGTGTCTTAAGAACTGTAGGCAACAGTTCTACAAGTTCTTCTCATGATCATAATTTAGTGATATTGTGAAGAAGATGAAAAAATTGATTAAGAAATAATTGAAGGCAAAACCCATGTATTTATAGTATAAAATTCCCAACAGGTGCAACCTTCCACGAACAGGTGCAATGGTTCACAAATAACCGAAAAAACTACCAATTTCAGTTTCCTTCAAAAAATAACCGAAAACGGTTTAACAGAAAGTTAACGTAAAAGTTAACTTGCCATTAAGTGTTAGGACCAAAATTGTAAGGAATTTTATCTGCAAGTGCAACTAGTCTTTCATTATATATATAGTCCCTCAACTACACAATATTGCCAAAAAAAACCTCTAGGATTTGCCCCTTTGTGTTCCCTCCAATTCACTTTTCAAATAATTCAAATGAAATTTGACTGATAAACCAAGAAAACTTTCTTCATCACTCGTATGGGACTAAGCTAAAATAAGTGACAAATACCACTTGTTCTAACATGAATCATGCTTGTGGAAGCCTAAAATCCCCTGTAGGTCCATGATCCACCTACGTATATATGCTGAGAAAGATAAAATTATAACCTTTGCAGCTGTTTTCACACTTCTTCGACTTTCTAAGCTGTGCTGGTCTGATAAATTTCCAGAAGAGAAATAAAATGATCAGCAAGATTAGGAGCACGATTAACCCCCCAATGAAAAAGAACAAGGCCGATGGAAGCAGCTTCTTGGACGAGCTTTCTTCATCAAGTGATGATGGTGTTGGAGATATTGCTGCATCCACAAGGGACGTTATAATATCGTTTAAATATAAGCTTTCTTATGCAAACTGGCAATCCTTCTTCACGGTTTCACATACTAATTTAACGTTAGCACATACAATATGTATTTGTGAATGAACATTATGAATTCAATCATCAACTGATCTTAAGGATAACATCATTATAAGGGGTTAATCCACTGCAAAAAAATTCAGATTTTTAATTTGCATTACTCCACAACTTTTTGAAAATGCAAAAAGATTTGCAAAAAGTGTTTTATCCATTTGCAGCATCATGATTCATGTAAAATAAATCGATATATGGGAATAAGATATAAATAAAGAAAACAAATGTAGCCCATTCCTTTGAGATGAACACATTACCATTTTCGATTACTTTTAAACTTCCCAATAACACAATTTCACCAGTTGGCTCCAAATTAAAAAATCCCACATAAGAGGAGACAGTTCCTCCAATACAGAGTGAACCAAAATGATGTTTCATATGAAAACGCATTTATGCAGACCAGGTGCTTGTATAAATGTTCCTAAGACAAACTACTGTAAAAACCCAATCAAACATTTGCAGATTCACAACAAACACAACAACTGGAAAGGGTAACAAGCCCATGATAAGTACCTTCAACTAATCGACGCATTTCTTCTTATTCAACCTTTGCAGTATCAGTGTCTTCCAATGTTTCACTAGCAGAAGGAAAAATGGTGGGTATTCTGAGAAACCATTTTCTCCAGTTACAAACGAACTTTTCTTTTATTTCCGCTGAGGAGAAACTAAGGGAGAGACAACAAAGAAAAGGGGAATGAGTAACGACACCTTGAAGACGATGGAAGTCAAAGTCGAACATCGGAGAATTCGAAGGGTCGTAAATCCAAGGAAAAGTACAAAAAGTTATGAGGCGAATCATCCTGAGAATTGCTGCTGGTCAACTTGTTAAAATTTGGACTACTTGTCCCTTTCTACAATGGCGAAAGGTGCTTCATCAGGCGAAAATGCTGATGTTCTTTGGCTTCCAATATGCTGTCATGCACAACGCTAAATAAAGAATTATACAACTATCATGCTTGATGATGAGTTGTCACGATTTTCACAAGAAATCAAACAATATTATTGTAATAGTTCATATTCAATGAAGCATAATGCATATGATGTGTAAGTAGATACTCTAATATTAATTTGGTGTTCACTAAAACCATAGTTTATGGTTGATTCTTGTAAAACTGCTTTTAAGACTATCCACATTCACAATCTCAACCAATCCAATTTCAAATTAAAATATTACTTTCTCTCTCATCCACCTCATAATATTCAACTCCAATCCAATCTTAAAATTTTCACACTCCAATCACAATATTCTACAATTCAATCTCACCTATTATATTATTTTATAAAATTATATTTTTTATTTTTTATACTCATAATTATTATTTTTAATTATAAATATGTAAATAGATAAAACGAATGAACAATTACCTATTTTRAAACATAATTTTAATTATAAAAAAACTTACCATACAACTGAAATTAGATTAAACAACATATAAAAATAAGTACGAAATTACATATTTGAAATACATAAATAACCGTAGTTAATTATTTTGACCAAATTTTTGACGTATATGCT